TCCTTTCTCTAGCTGTAAAATAGGACAACGTCTCTAAGTTGTCTCCTGATCAGAATATGACCTATTTCAAAACCAAAGATGGGGGTTCTACAAGGAACATGAGGGCCTTCTGAGCCCCTGGAATATTGCTGAGGGTGTACAATCTTTACCAAGTATGAAATGTGACCAATCAAGGATGGGGGTCTTCCACTATAAGCACAAGCCACATGCCCAGTCTTGGGTCTGACATTTCAGCAGTTTCTGAGTTCTTTAGGAGCCAAGTTAGGCATGTGGTTTGTATTCAGTTAGCAATATAATAGGCCTCTGCTGGTTTTCTTGTTGCTCTTCTTAGAGGCTGCCCCCTTCCCACACAAGTATATGTAAAATGATGAAACACAACACATTTTAGGATGAGTTAAAAAACAGGAGTGTGTGTGCATAGGGGGAGAGGAGCTGACATGGAAAATCAGGTGTACTGAATTTGCAGTTAGCCAGTGTCCCAGCAGGCTGTCCAGGGCATGTGAGCAATGTCCAGGTTCTTGAGCAAGTCACAAGAACCGAGCAACTTTCTCCAAATGGTCATTCCTATCATGAAATCCCAGAGAAGAAATTGCAATCAGGCGTCACGTTGAAAGCTTCATTAGGAAGAGGAGAATGGTTCTTATCTATGAAGAGATTGTGTATATGTGTATTGCATGAATGTATACACCATGCATTTATATACAGAAGCACATGGGTACATGCCCACACACACCTCTGTAGCTTTCAAGTCTTTCTCCAGAGCTGTCAAAATTTTAAGTGTTAAGAGGGAAAGGAAAGGTTTTTCTTTGGTATTTGTTATAAGGCAGGAGTTCTCAAAACCAAATGTGGATCAAATTCACCTAACGAAGCTTTAAAAAAACATACAGCTGCTGTGGTCATACCCCAGACATACTGAATCAGACCCTCCCTCCTGTGATGGGCACCTGAGACCTGGCATGTCTGGCCTGTGGCACAAGGGCTGTACAATCCACTCAGCTGCCATCTGATCCTGCCAGGACAGCATGCTTGCTCTTGGCTCCAGGTTGTGCCCAGAGGAAAGCCTGATGTTTGGGGGAAGTGGTTTAAAAATCACTGTTTGGGAACCCTTCTGTCTTTTATACTGCCTGTATCAGGAAGAAGTACCCTAGGGGATGAAGGCTGAGCCTTGGGTTCCAGTGGGAGAAAAATCACACTTCACATCCTCTGGCAGATCCCAAGCTTTCTGAAGAGGACAGACTTCTTCTCTCCCCAGGTTGTCCTCTCATTTCCCCCTAAGTAAAACTAATGCAAGCAAACATTTATGCAGCAATTCAGGGCACAAGGCTCCAAGCCACGCACCTTTGTGTAGTTGTTATGGCACTACAGAGGGGCTGCTATTGCCCTCACTTGGCAGACAAGAGACTGAGGCTTGTGCACGGCTACAGAGAAGTAAGAGTCAGAGACACCCCAGGCCAACAGACTCAGAGGCCCGAGTGCTTGACCACTGGGTACTGTACTTCCAACCAGCTCTGTCACATGGCCCACACAACACATGGAAAGTGGGTAGGTGGACAGAGACTTCCTTTCAATCTCTGTATTAACTTCATAACTAAATAGGGGTGTTTCTTAGCACAATGGGCTACTGTTAGTGGTAGAGAGAGAGAGGATGTGAGAAAATACAGGCCACTGTTAGTGGTAGAGAGAGAGAGGATGTGAGAAAATACAGGCCGAATAATTGGAAATATGCACGTTACCTCTTTGTTCTTGTGATGCCAATTCATTTTGAGTTGGGGGCTGGAAGAATTGCATCATTTGGTAATTAAGGTGCCAAGTGCTGCCTCTTTTCTTTGTACTAAGTACAATGAAGAACAACCCCACCTCTAAGATGCGGCGTGCTCACAGCCTTCTCTATTCCCCACCTAGTTTCTACTCTTCTCAGAAGTCCTCCAGGTCCTCTGACAGGAAGTGGAATGTATCCACTTGCCTGGGAGGGGAGGCTGAGAGCGACGCTCTGCTCCGTGTCTCATCAAAGCCTTCTCTGTGCACAAATACGTCTCCTGCATTTATGGAAAGCTCTGCTTTTTCAACCCCTTTCCCAGTCATTTCCACATTAATTAGTAAGGGTATCATTTTATAAATTACAGCTTCGTATCAGAGGAAAGCAGAGTTTATCTTAATTCAGTCAGCTGTGTGAAACACAGTACCCTAATTTTAGACCGCCAGTTCCACAGATCCCTATGGAGTACGAGAATGACAGGTCTTCCGGAGAGAAATCCCAGTGGGTCCCTCCCTGCAAGTCTCACTTTTGCCTCCAACAGCATCCATGGTGGAGTTGCTGAAGGGATCCCAGGACACTGAGTGGCATCTTCTCCACCATTAGCAATTCAGATTTGAATGCGAATTCTCCAAGTGAGCACATGAAGCAGCCTGGTTAGCTTAGGGCTTCAACGGGGGCCCAGGCAGGAGGCTCCGGCACAGAGGAGGCTAACAGCAGCCCAGGCTCTGGTGTGGAGCAGAAGTCTGAGAGGATAGTGTTAAAGTCGGTGATAAACACCAGACAATCTCAGTGCAAAAGGGGAAAGCCTGACAGTCTTAACTGTACTGGGCCCCAGCAGCAGGTCTGCTGTTTGGCCCTGCCGGGAACCCTCTGAAGAGTGCCTGCTGGCGGGCAGGGACAGATAATGTGTGTGCTGTGAAAGAGGACCTGCAGAGCCACTGCAGTCCACAGCAAAGGTGACCAGGGTGGCCGAGGCAGGAAGTGTGCACACGACAGAGAACACCCTAATATGCCCACTCCATCATCACCCCTCTGTGGCCTTGCTGATCACTGTACTCTCCTCATTGCCCTGAAATTGTCAAGACTACCTGCCCACTGCCTGTTACTCTGTCTGACACTTTGCTGGTTCCTGCACTCAGGGATGGAAGCCTAGGTAGTAGTGACTCGGGAATTCAGGTTCCAGGAAGGGACTACTTGGGGTGTTCTCAGCATGCAAGAAACACCAAGGCCCCCAGGTCCTCTAAAAACCATGGGCAGCTTTGGAGATTCTAGAAATGACCAGCATTAGGTGATCATCTAGACAAGTGGCGGTAGATACCTCTGTGGCCTGGGATGAGACCAGGCACTGGGATTTTTATGGCTTTCCCTGGATGACTCATGTTCTGTCAAGGTTGAGACTGCTGATCAAGACTCCTAAATGGAATCCAAACCCGGACATCCTTACCATCTTCTACCACTGCTGGAGCCTGGGAACTCTTCTGGAATTCACACTGCCTCTTAAAGAAAGAATGTCTGCTCAGCTGTGACACCCTGAAGAAGGCTCATCTCCTTGGATAGGTGCCACCACTTGGAAAGTGGATCAACCATCACCTGTGAAAGGACTAGTCCCTCCCTGGGTGCCTCTGATGCCCAAAAGAATGAGATGCCATCTGCCATGGGGAATGTGGCCTGGATAGTTCCAGGGCCAGGGCATGCCTTGAACACTGAACTTCTAGTGTTGTCCACAGGTTTCTGGCACCCACTATACACTGGCTGCCTGAGTCACCAGGGAACCTACTTTCAAAGAACTAACACTCTCGGGGCCTGTAGGAAGGAAGCTCCTACTTGTCAGTTAAACAAAAGAATAATCCATAGCCCCCTTTCCAGTGTGTACTTTCCCTGTCATCCAACAGCCCATTACTGTGTCACAGCACAGCACACCCTTCCATAGGTCACTTTGTTTAAAATGACATGGATAATGCACATGTCAGCAAACTGACAGTCCTGGCCGTCCTTCAGAGATAAAAACCTCAAGGCGAGAGCCTGTTCTTATCTAGGGGACATGCATTGGTCTATCATCCAAGGCAGGCAGAACATGATTTCTCCAGAGAGCACTTTTTTCATTTCCTGATTTTAAGGAAATCAAATAAGCACCATTTGTCTTCATCTGAATACGCTTGACCTGCTCAAATGATGATGTGTCGCATTTTATAACAGGCTACATATGCTGAATTCAAATTAACGACAGTACAGAACAAGAGCCTTTAGGTAGCTCTTGGAGGCTGGCAGCAGAGAAGGATGGAAAATTCTGGGCTTGATAGAAAGATCCCACTAAAGACTAACTGCAGGATTCTGAGTAAAATCTGCAAGCACATAAGAGACGAAAGCCAGAGAACAGGGTTTAGGAAAGCCAGCTATGCAGGACAGATCCAGAAACTGGGGAAGGGAGGACTAGTCCCTTCCTTGTGGTACTGAGCAATATAGATACCAGCAAACTGAGGATAACTCTTTTTGAAATACATAAAGTAGGAATAAAATTGCAAATAAATTTGGTTGGGAGACTGGGACAGCTAGAAAGGAAGACCAAACAGAAAACAATCCTTGTGCTTCAGGCGGCAGAAAGTTCACTTTACCAGGTTGTGATCCAATCTTCTGAAAGCTCAAAAATCGATTTCTTTTCCTTGATCCATATTGAGCTGGACACAGAGGCTAGTGGCCATCAGCCTTGAAACACAGTATGCACCTGCTGGAAGAACTGTCCTCCACCTGGCCACCCACTGGGAGGGAACAAGAGCAGCTCCCACTAAGCCCTGCACCCACCCCTCACCCCATGATGAGATTCCTAGAAACACAACATTCACATTTCTGTCAAGAAGGCCAATATGCACAGAAAAGCACGAAGAAGCATATGGTTCAGTAAAAGAAATGAAGATATGACATTATAAACATATACTAGCAAGTTTAACTCTCCAATCAAGGATTAAAAAAGAAAAAAATCAGATGGCTATAAAAAGATTTCCTTTTAAAAATCCTGTATAAAGTGAAAACTAAGTGTCATATATATGCAATATCGAAGGGCTTGTTTAAAAAAGTGGACCTTACAAATTAAATGTGTTGTGATAGGAAATGTCACTGGGTAAATAAAACCCATCTCTGCAGAACAGAAAGGGTGCTGTCAACATGAAGCTAGTGCCGCACCACCGTGCAGCTGCATGTGGGAGAAACACAGTGCCCCACTGTGCTCACAGTGAGGGGGGTGTCCTACCTTCTCTTCCTGGTCGCTGTCGCTATCACACTGAAAAGGAAGACAAGAGAATAAGGGTTAGTACAAATACTGTGTAGGCTTTAGATTTTGATACAGAAAAAAAACAAGAAATGCAAGACAAGTAAATAGGAAACACTGTCTGAGCTAGAAAGGGCTTCTTCAGCTCAAGTTCTGGTAAACAGAACCAGGAACAAAGTGCTGAGCAGTTGCTCTGTTCATCTCATCAGATGCCTGAGTGCTATGGCTCTTCCTGTGGTCAGTCTTCAGTCTGGCAAGGCACTTGATCACACTACTGAGCACCCCTCACTGCACTGGAGAGGGGGTACCCATCCAGGAGCCGGCCACAGGACTAAGGTGAATCAAGATCGTTCAATGGGCTTCAGAGCAAAATCGACATTTTAAGGAAGCATTTCTACCTTTAGCTAATGTGAATGAATGGTTGCACCTCTCCTGGTACTTTTCTAGAGGAAAAGAACTTCTGGGCATTGCATTCTCCCAGTTGGACTTTGAGGGAAACAGGACATTCTAGGCAAGGCTCACCACTTCCAATGGCTGCCTTTTCCAGGGCTCAGAGGCCCAGAGAAAAGGGAATGTTCCTTCTAAAACACATGCCAAGGATAAGAATAATAAATCAAATATCCAATAAATCAGGGTAATAAATCAACAATATGGGGAAAAAATGTTTTAAGATAGACTCACACCATATCTAACAGCTCCCCAATTCCAATTACTGAGTTGGTTTTGGGATATCCAGAGAATGACAGTTAAAACAAAGCTTTGGGTTCCTCAGAAGTAGAGAGAAAAATATAACACAATAAAAAATAAAAGAAAAACCCCATGAGTGTTCTGTTATCCAGCATTTGATTTCAAAATGTGGGATGTGTTTTATTAAAGTAAATGCATAGCAGATTAAATATATTCATTCATTCAAGTCAACAGCTCTCGATAAGCTCTGTTAAGTTAGACAGATTTTCAACCAAGACATAGGACTGGCCTTAAAGTAGCTTCAGTTTGGCACTAGAGATAAAGCTAGAACACAAGCACTAAGCAGGGGTGTGGCGGGACTGGAGCCATATTCCATGAAGAAGGCCCGTCCCATGAGGAGGAGGAGAGACACTGCATGTGGGGCAAGATGTGGGTCACGGGGAGACCTGCTTGGCAGCCATTACACTGTCCAACCCAGCACAGGACGTGGTTTGAGAAGGGGAGGAACAGATGGCAGAGCAATTCTGAAGGTATAAACAATAGGACTTGATAACACACAGATATAGGAAGCAAGTAAGAGGGATGAGTCTAGGTTGATGCCAAGGATTTTTAGTGTGGCCACCTGGACATGGGAGATGATGTAGCTATAAACAGAAACAGAAAATAAATTTGCTTATCCAGCAGGTACTGCTGGCTAGATACCCACAGCCATTCACAACCCCCTTCTCCCTAGTTTGTACCTTCTCCTGACACTTCAAGATTGAGAAAGCCAGATATTCTCTCTTTCCAAACTTTCACTGCAGCTAAGGGTGGTCCTAAGACCCAATTTTGGCTGAGATTTGAAGAAATGCCTGTTGGGGCTCTGGAAAATTTTCCTCTCCTCAACAAAAGGAGCTTGCCACTTGCCTTTGAACATGATTGTATGAGGAGGTGATGTTCAGATCTGTGGCAGCCATCTTGCAGAAAGGAGGCAAAAAGCTAAGTACAAAAGCAAGATGGTTGGGCAAAAAGAAGGAAAAACCTGGCTCAAAGGAGCCAGTCGAACCAACTTCAAAGCAGCCTGCCTTGGGACTTTTTTTGTTCAGATAACAGTAAGCTGCCTTATTATATAAACTGCTGTTAGCGTGCTTTCAGTTGAAAGTAACAAAAACTCTATCCAAAGGGACATCTCTTGCCATTACAAAACACAACTTGGGGGCTATTTCCTCTTTTCACCTCAGCTCTCTGTACTGTAAGCATCAGGCACTAACACGACAACCTTACAGCCTGGAGGGTGCGACATTGCTGACTTTCCCCCTGGCTCCTCAAGGCCACAGGGTCATACGGGTTTAAGTGACGGTGCTTAGACCAAGCACAGCTCCACCATTTTCAACCAAGCTTCTGGCCTCAGACTGTCTAAACTTACTTTCTTTTGCCTAATGATGACTTCTCTATTACAGTAAGTCAACCAAGGTGAGATGAAGACTTTGAAAGCCTAGAACAACAGACAAATGAGGAACAACAGCTATTCTGGTTTTGTGATTTTTCCGTTGCCTTTAATTAAGGCTTCCTTGAGGTTCCCAAGTTCTGGGCACATTTTCAAGAGTGACAAAGCATGATTCAGGAGGGGTGTGGAAGAGAGAAGAGTATTTTGCTAGGCAGGCTCATTTTCACAGATGTTCACAGCTCATCTTGTGAGGTAATAAATGACAGCTGAAGGCTGTGGTAGAGCATTTGCCCCCATCCCCAAGGACTGGTGTGCAGGGGGCAGAAGGAATGGGGAGGCTGGTAAAGTACCACCACTCTCCATGGCCCCCTCAGTCCTAACAGCAGTGTGTCCCTGGGAATGGTTATTTCTATCAAAGTGTTAAGCTTCTTGCTTTCCAACAGTCCAGTTCTAATTTCAAGGTCCACTTAATTCTGCATCAAGTAATTACTGATATACCCAGAAGCACCTTGTCTCCAGAGTTAAGCATATGGTGAAGAACCGAGACCTACTGGTATCCATTATGGAAGCAGCACGGATGCCAAGCCGATTAAAAATGCTCAGGCTCCCCACACAACATGCCGGGTGAGTGACAGCTCCTTGACAGGGCCAGTCGCAGAGTCTGCCAAATCGGTGTCCGCTGCACTGGGGCCCACATGGTGCGCTGAGAAAACAGTTCCATTTCTGGTATTAAATTCCCATACTGACCCGAGGACTTTGCCGTTAGCTCAGCAGGAACGCAGCATCCAATTTACAGCTCCGCTCTCTGGAGCCTCGAGTGCCAGCCCCTGGCAGAGACGAATGATGGTCAGCCCCTCCAGCTCATAAATTATGCAAAGGCAATAAATGCACTCAGCAAACAGCGCCTAGTGTTTGCCTAGCCTGGCTCCTAACACACTGTAAAAAGCCAGAAGCTCGACACATACAAGGGGTCTATTCCACTCATAAAGGAGGTTTGTTGACAACCCCAGACGGAAAGAGAGCCACAGTCCTGGGGAGGCTTTCTGCTTAGCTGGCAGCACTTTATGGGCCTGCTTTGTGAAAAGAGGAGGCTGTTTTACAGAGTCGGTGTGGCTAGAATTCATGGTCTCAAATTCACATTTAATACACTGTATGGCTTTCACACCCTAAGTTCAATACGTTGTGGATTTTTGGCCAAATGATTCTTGATCTTGAAAGGTTAAAGAAGAAGTGTCTGTTCCCCAATCCCTAGGTAACCGTCTCCAATTTATAAGAGCTCACATCAGGCCTCCTCCTGACTCAGGTTTATGTTCTGCATGAGGCTGGGAAATGGAGAAGGCATGTCAAATACAGAAATGGGGTCCCAGCTGATATGATCATTTTAAGCATTTTGACATCAGGGTCCTGTGTTGGTTTATTAGCAAACAAGGTGCACACTAACGACCAGCTTGAGGTGACAGAGTACGCTCCAAGACTAGATTTCAAAGCCCTTTGTGCAAAGCTGAAAATATTTTCCTCCATTTTAAAAGCAAGAAATGAAAACGAACAACTAGTCTTTACCCTCCAGACAGGGAAGAATTCCTGGTCACTCAGCCTTCAGACAAAGATGTGACCCAAACCCACCACAGACAAAAGAGAGAAACAGGCATGAAATCCAAGCCACAGGCCTCAAATGCAGAATGAAAAAGGGATGAGTCCCTAACCTGCACACCTCCAGCCATTCCAGCACGTCCCCACCCAACCCTGTTACCACCTTCTCTTCCCTGGAGTTTTGCAAATTAGAAGTAAAGCTTGGGAAGCACCCTCTTCCATTCCCAAAGGCCCAGCCTTTGAACTCTTCAAATAAACAATAAATCCATCCACCCAATATTTTCTCCTTTTAAAAATTAATATATATTTATTGAATATATTTTAAGAAACCAGCCATAAGCCTACCTACCATCCATAGATAAATGCTGCCAACACCCCTATGTAATTTTTTTCCAGTCTTTTCTCTACCATCTCCATCGTTGGTACACACATTTTAAGAAATGCAATGAATTTCTACTAGTTTGGAACCTGCTTTGTTCTCAAGTAATATGTCAAATATTTTTCTTTAATGAGTAAAATTTTCCATGTAATTTTACTTTTATTTCCAAAAGGCTGCATTGCAATCCAATGTATGGATTGTAAATAATCTAGTAACAAAACTCCCTAGTGCTGGATATTTGGATTGTTTCAATTGAACATCCTGGAATTTTCCCCCTGTACACACTCACAGACATTTTCTTTCCTAAAATCTTTTCATGGCCCTTCCTTTCTTGAATATTTTTTAACATCACTGTCTCCCCAGAGTTGCATTTGGAGTTCTATTATTTCTATGTGATTTCCAGAGGAGTCCTTAAAGAGTCCCTCTGTTTCACCTACCATTTATATGTTGAGACTAAAAAATCTCCAGGCTCACCGTTTACCAGCTATGAAACTTTGGGGAAGTTATTTAAACTCTCTGTGTCTTACTTATCTGTAAAATGTGGGTCATGATGAGAAATGTCCCTCATGAGAAAATGAGTCAATATGTGCAGACAGCTTAGACAAATCATGGTAGAGTAAGTGTGGACAATAAATGTGAACTATTATTGACATATGTATTTTGTTTACAATCCACATCCTTCCCAAAGTCCTGTAAGCACCTCAGACTCAAGTGTTCATCTGAACCTGGGCTCATCATCTTTTGCTCATCCCAAAGCTGCCCCTCTCCCCTGCTCCTCCCGGTAATGACGTCACCATACAGTCTAAGCGAGGAGTCTTGTTATCATTCTTGACTCCATTCTTGAGCAGACCTATCTTCCTCTCACCCTACAATATCGATTCTACTTTCTAAATCTTCTCCATCTCCATAGATGTGGCCACTGCTTCAGTTCAGGCTCTTATTTTATTATTACAAGAGGCTCATGACTGCTTTCTAGGACATACAGTCTCTTCTTTTTCTAATCCGAGTCCTTTATGACCAGAATAGATTCCCTAAATTTCAGTTTGATCACCACCCTCCCCACAGCCCTGGGAGGGCAATGAAAACCCTTCATGGTGCTTCCAGCTCTCCGGATGCCCACTCCCAATCATTCCTCCAACAGTACTTTGAAAGCCTTCTGTGGGGAAGGACCATTTATTTTTGTTTTGTTTCCTTTAATTTCCAATACTTTTGAAAAATATAATAAAAAATAAATTGCTGAAAAAAATGAAACAGCAAAGACATATAAAAGTATATCTCATTATTAGATTTAAGAGATGTAAAAATTACTCTGTTAAATTGCTGTAAAGGTTTCCAAATGCTACTCTCAACTGCCATACTAACCTCACAGCAGATTAGTTACAAACAGCTCACAAACTGGCTTTGGCCTGCACGCACTTGAGCAATTCTACCATAACACATCCTTGCTCTAGCCACACACAGGTGCACTTGCTTTTACCTCAGGCTTCCCACCTGTGCACTTAGCAATTCTCTTTGCCTGGAATTCTAGTTCTCCAAGTTTCCACCTAAAACCTTTAGTTCACCTTTAAATTGCTGTTCCCTCTTCAAATTGTCCAGTAATCTTCTTAGAATTAAGAATTCTTAGAATTTTAATACTCTTCTTAAAATTAATTGCTTCTATCTCCACTCCTTACAAAATGGTGGTGTCATTGTTTGCCATAGCAGACCGCCCCACCAGAGAGAGTGAGCCCCCACACAGGGAGGACACAGCCCTGCTTAGCTCTGTGTTTCCAGGCCTTGGGACACAGAAGGTGCATAGTCCTATTCATAATCCATCTCATTCTTCTCTAGAATTCTTCCAATGGTGATTGGTTCCATGCAGCCTAAGCAAAGTATGATTTAAAAGACCGGTAACTTCAAGAAAGAAGGCTCAGGATACACTGACTGACTCACTGCTTAATATGATGGGATGTATGTGTAAACACACTCAGCAGGGCTAAAATTATTAGCGGAGACTAGAGTTGGGGCCCAGAAGAAAATATCTTCCATTAAAAGGCCCAGACAAGATGTGATTATGATTTTATGGTACTTTCTCAAAAGCAAACATTTCTTGTTTCCATTTGAGAACCTCAATATCTGTGTTTTAACACTCTGATCCAAATTGAAGTAAGTCAAGGTCGGTGACATTTCTCTGCCTCATTCAGAATGAAGTAACAAGATGGAATTCTAGGTACCTCGTGATAGAATGCATTCTTAAGCAGAAAGTGGCAATCATTGAACATATCACATACAATGACATTGAGGAGGGCATTGCTCTCTATTCTGCTCAATGGACCTTGCTGGAACAGTTATTTCGTATCTCAAATCCATTTATCATTGCCACCAAAGATGTCAGGGCTGAACACCATTGCTGAACAAAGTTATTTTATTCTTCTGTCTGCCTAAAGGAAATGAGAGGAAAATGCGGGAGAACCTCAACTTGTAAACTACAGCATCTAACATCAAGTACAATTTAACTTTGCCAGCGACAAAACAAATCGATTCCCCTCTGGGGCAGACGGTTTATCTAAGACCATAAAGACATCCCTCACCTAAAAGCAATTTCAGAAGTAGCCACCTGCAGAAAACATGACACTTATTTTCTTATTTAAGGAAGTGAGGCAGCGGCACGGTGGCCACAAACACGTCTGCCATCAACTGCCCACCTGCCTAATCCCTTGTACCTGCAAACTCACGCAGCCATTTAGTTCCATGTAATGGCAAGTCTGATGCTCTCTGTCTTTTCTCGCTCCACAAAGCCCCCATTTCACACTGTTTATATTTCTTTCATTTTGGCTATGGACTTTCAGTGATATTTAAAGCCTTTGGGGCCCCAGAAATAAAAAGAATATTTTTATCCTGAAAATGGCTTGAGGTACTCTTACTGATTGTAAGATGATGTCAGTGGCTCCTCTTCCCCTCTAGCTCAATGATAACTGTGCCTGATCAAAGAAAAAGCTCAGAAAAAATGAGAGCCTAATTAAAAGACTTGTGTGCCAGACAGTAGTTTAAAAGATGATAATAAAGCTTCTGACAGTCACAAAATGAGTACAATTGAAAATGAAGTAAGATACACCATCTTTTGCTTTTCAGGAGGCATAATGGAGAGCAAACTTCTAGAACCTTCCAGGATTCTGTACTGGTAACCTATCATGCCTACATGGGAAATTCTCAGAATCTGGCATTTTTGCAAGTCCTTAGCTTGAACTGGCCAGAGCTCAAAACAACCAGTATGATCTGAAGGGGCTAACAGAACACTTCTTATTTCCTTCTCTAGGGTCTCTCAGATAGTCATACATTTTCATTTAGTAAATCACTTTAAAGTGCCTCCTATGTGCTAGCTTCATTCTGACAACTCATCAGAAGTGCAAATATATTGCCAGAAATCAAGGTATCCAAACCTGAAGATCTAAAGCTCACAGATTTTCAGAATTATTTTCCTTTTTGACACTTTGAAATCCAGGTATATTTCATGAAGCAATCTGTGCGTGAATTTCCACTTAGCTCACTAAAATATTGTTGGATTTTGGAAGTAGGGAGAGAAGTGGATATTTCACACATTTTTGGAGTTCAGCACCTTTTTTTCCTCTTAGAAGAAAGGAAGTCACATTTTGCCAAGTATAAACATATATAAACCCCAAAGATGAAATTTGCTTAAAACCCAGAGACCCCATAAGCCTTAATCATTGCCAATATGAGAAAAATGAGTTTCTTGTCCAAAGGTAAAACTGACAGTCAAGGGCTGGGTAATTTGTAAACGATTTCTTTAAAGCTTAAGCAACAGATCCTTGGCCTCTGTCATTGATTTACTGATTCTAAGTCATCAATAGAATTCATCCGTACCTGCCTGGGGACCTATTACAAATGACTTTGAAGATGGTGTGAAGCAAGAGTATACTATGAGACTACAGTGTTCTTACCAGGCAGAACTTCCCAGCTCTGTTCTTTGGTGGTGTTCTATTTGTGACCCCCTAAAATGCTGCAATTTTCTGTTTCCAGATCACAGCTGCTTGTTCCTTTGGGTGGGGCCTGAGCCCCTAGGTTTGCTTCAACTAAAGCTTGGTTCTTTTCAGAGTCTTGTTTGAGCTAATAAAACCCAAATTTGCTGATGAATAAAAAGGAAAAGTATGTTATGGGTTAAAATAATACAAGAGTCTATTTTTTCCGCTGTGTTGTGATCCATAGAAATCACCCTGAGCCTTTTCCCTTTCTTCTCTGCCTGGGAAGCCAATTGCTTTGATTGCAGTGATATGAGCTAGCTAAAATGACTTGCCCTTGCTTGTGAGGCAAATGGAACATGCTAATAGAACTTATCGCATTACCCGATGCAAAAGTGCCATAGCTCATTACTTTAAGATAAAAGGATATCATTGCAGACGGCAAGCAGAATTGACTTTCTGAGGCCCGACTTGATGATGATTTAATCAACTGCTCTCTTTCACTTCTCATCTCTGCGCCTGTCGGTTTCACAGGTGCCGTTAAATGAGACACTCAGAAAGTGAACGGAGGGAAAGAAATTGCTGTCATTACTTTTCAAGAAAGGAGGTATGCAAATTTTCGACAGAAAGATTGCGTTCATAATGGGCCTGGTAAAATACAAGGATCATGCTTGACAGGTGAGGGCAAGCCATTTGTATGTCCTTAAAGCAGAGCAAACGTCCTCATTTAGGAAGAAACTACAAATGCAAGACTTGGTGGGGCCAGGGAGAGGCGGGGCAGAATAGCACAGGGTTGGTCCAGGCTGATCAAAATTTTAGAAAGAGGGAGGGTGCTTACAGTTTTAAGGAAGAAGCCAAAGCCAGATGAGCAGATAACAAAAGTCTGGTAGCTGTTAGTATGAACCACAATGTCAACGCGTTCTTGAAAAGCCCATCTTATTCTCCTTCACATAAAACTGCAGCCAGTATGCCAGGGTTCAAATATTTACTGCATACAATTGCAGTCTCTCTGGCAAGTAGCTTAGCCTCTCTGTGCTTCATTATCTATCAAGTGGGGCTACTACAGTATCTACTACCTCCAAGGATTGCTGACAGCATTCACTGGATTAATAAATAATTAATAACGATTAAAAAATTATTAACATAAAAAGGTATAAAACAGTGCCTAACACAGGAGACAGTCAATAGATGTTAGCTGTTACTCGTTTTTCAACAAAGGCTGAGTCACTGTTTTTGCTTAAGAGTGTTTGTGCCAGGTGCTGAAAATCTTACTGGTTCTAGTTTAGATAGAACACAATTCCTGACTGATTCCACATATATGTCTCTTTCCTCCGGCAGATGGTGAGTTCCTCAGAGAGGACAGTCTGCTTGTCCCTGGAATCATCCCAGGGTCTAGTGCAGTCTTAAGGACCATAAGAAATGCTCAGTGATGATTTGATGATTCATCATTGCCCCGTCCCTCCTCCTATTCATTCCTCACACCAGATACTGTGTGTGGAGCTCAAGCAGTTAGAGGAATCTCCTCTTTGGAATAGGAAATGTTTCTTTAAATGGGAACCTCAGGCTATGGCCATGTGCTCTAGCCTGGGGAAGGAAGAGATAGTCTGGCTTGAATCATCTTCAGAAAGGCAGAAGGAATCTGAATAGATTAAATGATCAGGGTACTTTGAACCAAGGTGTTTTTCATCCACTTTGCCTTCAAAAGGTAATTGTTATATATTCTCCAACACTCAAAGTATAAGAGCATCTTTCTTAGAGTGCCTGCATCTCTGAGTTCTTTTTCCCCAGGTAATGAAGCTGCTGCAAACCTTTCTTCCCTCCAGCCCCTAAGGTTGTGAGGTACTGAATGTAGCTCCTGCTTTCCAAGCTAAGTGGCGCCTACATGATTCAGTCCCCACGAAGGGACAATATCCACCTTGGGCAAATGGAGAGAGAGGAGAATCCGTGGTGGCAAAGCAGCTCTGAGCTGTCTAGTCTGGAAAAGCCTGCTTCCTGGGGTGCCTCTTACACCCTCTCTCTGCCAGCATGGCTCTGTCAGGGTAGGGGTGCTCCTTAGGAACTATCTCAGAGCAGTTTCCCCCTAAAAATGCCAGGCAACAGCTATCAAGCATTAAAAAGTAATGTCCTGACAACAGCTCTGAGAGGATGGTGTTATTTAAGATCCCTGCATTTTCAAGTTAAGGCTTCCAAAGGCAGAAGCATTCCTTGAACCCAGTTCTGTCCTCCAAAGATTGTGTTCCCAGCAATTACACTAAATCCCCTCACTCCCTCTCATGCACTACACAAAGAAACTATTCAAAAATATCTTCCTGATGGATTTCTTGGCAGAGGGGAAAGTAGAGGAAATCTGAAAGTGAGCAGAGGTTGAAGTGTATGCAGCCCATCAGCCACATTTGTACCCTACCCCAGATGGTCCTCCCCTAAGGAGAAGACCTCACCCAGCACCTGGCTCAGGGAAGGGCTCATTAAGTCTGAGGCTGGCCTAGGCTCAAATTCTGACCCCCTCACCTAGCTGCCATGCAGTCTTGAGAAAGATTCTTAACATCTGGGAGGCTATCTTTTTTTTAAACCTGTAAATGGGGTGGACATACTCCACAACATCTTTGTGAGACTTAATTGAGTTCAAGCATGTGAAAACAGTCAGAGAGAAATACAAATAGTTTTACTTTTTCCAACTCTTTCATGAAAGATAGATTACACACAGAAGTGAGGAAACAACAGTTATTTAAATGTTGAGTTTTTTAAATGCTTTTATTGCCAGATGGGAAACCATCTTCTGCAAGGATTTCTGCTTGGGAGGTGTCTAAAACTTGTACTGTGCTATCCGAAAACAGAAACAACATCTCAAACAAACAGAAACAGAAACTGTCATTCCATCTCAAAGAAGAGACCACCAGGACTCTTCCAGGTAATGGATAATGTTATTTCGCTGATAAAATACAGACATATCTCAGAGATACTGTAGATCTGCTTCCAGACCACTGCAATAAAGCAAGGACCATGGGATCACAATAAAGCACATAAAATGAACTCTGGTTTTCCAGTGCACATAAAAGTCATGTTCACACTATGCTGTAGTCTATGAAGAATGCAGCATTATGCCTAAAAAATGTATATACCTTAATTTAAAAATACCTTAATTGCTAAAAACTGCTAACCATCAGCTGAGCATTTTGGTGAGTCATCATCTTTTTGCTGGAGTTTTTTGCCCCACTGCTGGTGGCTGCTGACTGACCAGGCTGGTGGTTGTTGAACGTTGGGATCATTGCGGCAATTTCTTAAAATAAGTGACCAATTCAATTTGCCACATCAATTGGACTCTTTTTTTCAAAAACTATTTCTCATAGCTTGTGATGCTGTTTGACAGCATTTTGCCCACAGGAGAACTTCTTTCAAACTGGAGTCAATCCTCTCAAATCCTGCTGCTGCTTTATCAACTAAGTTCCTATAATATTCTAAATCCTTTGTTATCTTTTCTACACTTTTCACAGCATTTTCAACCAGGAATAGATTCCATCTCAAGAAACCACTTTCTTTGCTCATCCCTAAGAAGCAACTCCTCATCTATTCAAGTTTTATCGTGAGATTGTAGCAATTCAGGCACGTTTTCAGGCTCCACTTCTAGTTCTGGTTCTCTTGCCATTTCTAGCACATCTGCAGTTATTTCTTCCACTGAAGTCTTGAACCCCTCAAAGTCATCCATGAGGAGGGGAACCAACTTCTTTCAACTCCTGTTAATGTTGATATTTTGACCTCTTTCCATGAATCATGAATGTTCTTAATGGCATATAGAGTAGTAAATCCTTTCCAGGAGGTTTCCAAGTTACTTTGCCAGATCTATCAGAGGAATCACTATCTATGGCAGCTGTAGCCTTATGAAATGTACCTATAAATACTAAGACCTGAGAGTCAAAATTATTCATTGATCTATGGACTGCTGAATAGACATTGTGTTAGCAAGCAAGAAAAAAACATTAATTTCATTGCACATCTCTATCAGAGCTCTTCAGTGACCAGCTACATTGTCACTGAGCAGTAATGTTTTGAAAAGAATCCTTTTTCCTGAGCAGTAGGTTTCAACAGTGGGCTTAAAATATTCAGCAAACTACACTGTAAACACATGTGCTATCATCCCGGTTTTGTTGTTCCATTTCTAGAACACAGGCAGAGGAAATTTAACGTAATTCTTAAAGGCTCTAGGATTTTCAGAATGATCAGTGAGCACTGGCTTCAACTTACAGTCCCCAGCTGGATTAGCCTCTACCAAGAAAGGCAGCCTGTCCTTTGACGCTTTGAAGCCAGGCATTGACTTCTCCTCTGTAACTCTACAAAAGACCTACACTGTATTTCCTTCCAATAGAAGGCTGTTTCATCTCCACTGAAAACCTGTTGTTTAGTGTAGCCTTCATTGATTATCTTAGATCTTCTGCACACCTTGCTGCAGAGTCTACATGAGCACCTGCTGCTTCACCTTGCACTGCTACGATATGGAGATGGCTTCTTTCCTGAAGTCTCATGAACCCATCTCTGCCAGTTTCAGACTTTTCTTCTGCAACTTCCTCCCCTCTCTCAGCCTTCACAGATTTGAACAGAGTTAGGGCCTTGCTACGGATTAGGCATTGGCGTAAGGCAATGATGTGGCTGGTTTCATCTTCTACCCAGACCACTAAAACATTCTCCATATCAGAAATAAGACTGCTTCTCTTTCTTATCATTTGTGTCTTCACTGGAGGAGCACTTTTATTTTCCTTCAAGAACTTTACGTTTGCATTCACAACTTGACTAACTAGCATAAGAATCCTAGCTCTCTGCCTGTCTCAGCTCTGGACACGCCTTCCTTACTACGCTTAATCACATCTAGGTTTTGATTTAACATGAGCAATGTGTGGCTCTTCCTTTCACCTGAACACTTAGAAGCTGCAGTAGGGTTATTAATTGGCCTGATTTCAATATCGTGCCTCAGGGAATCAGGAGATCTAAGGAGAGGGAGAAAGATGGGAATGGCCACATGGTGACACAGTCAGGACACACCCATTTATGGATTAAGTTCTCTGTCTAAAATGGGTGTAGTTTGTGATGCCCCTAAACAATTACAATAGTAACATCAAAGATCACTAATCACAGATCACCAAAACAAATACAAGTATAGTAATGACAAAGTTTGAAATATTGCAATAATTACCAAAATGTGACACAGAGACACAAGTGAGCAAATGTTGTTGGAAAAATGATGCTGATAGACATGTTCAATGCAGTATTGCCACAAACTTTCAATTTATGAAAAGCACAACACATGTGAAGCACAATAAATTGTAGCAAAATAAAACAAGGTATGCCTATACCAACGATGCAAGACCCTTTAGAATTCAGTTTTCTAAGTGTTCCTTTAGGTTCTTGATATACACATCTTTGGATATATACTGGATTTATTCTTCAGTCAAATAGTAGTCAGTAGCCTGTGTATAGAGACTAAAGTAAAATGCATAGATATAAGATTTGGAATCTTAACTCGAAGGCTATACATGGTACAATAATGACTTATGATCTCTGACATTATTAAGATGTTCAGTGAAACTAAAATTGGCAAAATAAGTAAATAGATGGCAAAATAAATAAATAGACAGAACAGATATAAAAAATATCAGGTGATTATTGGTGCATCTAGGAAGCCAACCATTTTGGAATTTGTCCAGAGATTCTGACCTGTCAGCATTAGGAACTACTTGGATAGCCCTTTGCACAGAAATTTTTTATATGCAAGGCCTATATAAGGATTGATCTAACAAAATAAACCAGCAGAGTAACCCTGGGAAGAATAAAACTTCCTAGAGCATTAACTTTGGTTAACAGGAAAAATGGGGATTAGCTAAGAGAATAAACTAAAATGCTTGGTATTTTGTAGGCACTAACAGACTACTTCTGCCATCTAGGGTGCTGACAGACATGCAAATATCTGTGCATGGAAATATTTGTCCCGTGTTCCACATATATGAAAGCTTTCTCTGACTTCTCTGGTCCTATTCCAGCTGTTGGTTTTCAACATCTTTTACCCATGGTCTCTTTCTCCAAATATGTCTCAAAGTTTGCTTTTATTCTGTTCTTCCCAAACCTGGCACGTAGTGTGTGCTCAATAAATACATGTTAAAGAATGAATTCATAAATTACATTAGCAAAATATCTGAGGGAAGGTGTCATGGAAAGTGTTTAATTGAGGAGAGCAAGAAATATATAGTAGTTGACAGAATGGATGTTAAGGTATTTGAAAGTGGTCGGTGTCTGAATGTGTTTATGAGAAAGAAATGGAAATAATTTCAGGGTAAAAGAAAATCCTAAGAAAACAGCACCATACATTTGAAGAAATCTAATTTTAAGGCTACTCTTTTAAAGAAATCAAGGAAAGTGAAAATAGTACAATATTTCTTCTTACATTTGACTCAATGTAAATATAAGCCAACCAAAAGCAAATGGAATTGAACAGAAAAAGGGAAAATGGTGTTCTTATAACTGCTGAAACATAATGGCCGCATTATCAACTTCCCACCAACCAGATTTTTTGTTTTGTTTCAAAGTGCAAGATGTGAAAAGCATAGCTAAAGAAACAGAATTAGGGCTAGAGAGAAACTGATTTACCAATGTTAGAAGGTAGTTCAAGCAGATTTTTAAGACATGTTGGACTGCCATTCCACTGGATCTAAAACTGATTTTTTTTCTTTCTTTATTAGGTACTCTTCTTTTTCCCCTCTTGGAATTCATCATATTCATAACTGGGATTTTAAATTAAGTTAAACAGTCTTTATTTTAGGATGGTTTGAAAAACTAGTCTTCTATATCATAAACAAGGAAGGGTAGGATTACTATAAATTGTCTGCAAGAAAAGACAAATTGCCAAGACAAAACACTCATTGGTCTGCCAGTCTCAAGTTTCCTGTTTTGACATCGTATATGCAGTAATTTGGTACCCACAATCTCTTATTAGAAAATGAATGTGCTATTTTTCTGAATGCTGCAATTACAATAATTGAATTTAAAATGGGGATTGAGTTTCTCTATTTGGAGGAAAAGAATAATTGTGTATTCCTGATTAAAATCAAGGAGACTGAAAAGAGGTTGTACAAATTTCAGCTTCAGTCTCCCTGAGTGACTCCTCATCAGGCCAGAGAAAAGAAACATTCAAACATGAAGAAATGGACCAGCACCTCAGCAGCAGGCACTGTCTCTGGCCTCATTTGCTTTGTATCCTGGCCTTAAGTCACAACACCCTTTCCACAGGCAATCAGAATACCAGGGCACTGTTGCATTTTAAATGGCAGCCAGGCTGGAGTTCCCCACTGTGTCAAAAATTAAGAGTTAAAATTCAAGGAAAACAAACATCTTTTTGTTGTTGAAAATGCCTGTCCCCTTTTAGACTGCCAAGATTCTGGAGCAGTTTTTATTTCTCCATTATAGAACCTCCCCTCCTGGTGGGGGAAATGTAATGATGCAAGGATGGGGGTGTGGGGAAGGGGACAAGACAAGGGACCTAATGCTATTTTCTAAAGGGCTCAGCTTCTTTTTGTTTTACTAATATATTATATAAAAAAACCACCTACAAGGTTCAGATGTAAGAAAGGAGAAGGAATGGAGGAAGAGGTTTATCTTGTCTTTGTGATGTCTTTTTATTTTATTTTGATGGTGGCATTCAGTCTTCTGAAACCTCCATTTACCGAGATGTTAAGGTGAAATTTAGTCTCGCAAGCCCTCCTAAATGTTCCTTAAAATACAGTTTCCTAAGGAAAGAAAAGTTTTCTAGCCCAAAGTGGGCCATGGATTGTCTCTTTGTATCATTTGCTGTTTTTTAGTGGCTTTAATGGCTTTATTGAGACATAACTGACATGCAGGGACCACTCATATTTAAAGTCTGCTATTTTATATGTTATTACATATGCTTATGCCCATGAAACTATCACCACTGCAAGACCGTGACACATCCATCCCACTGGTAAAGTGGCCCTCACATCCTCTTGTAAACCCGCCTGCCCTCCCCGCCCATCCCACGAACGCCCCTCCCTCAGCCACTCATACGCTTTCTGTCACTACAGTTTGCATATTTGCTGGAGTTTTACAAAAATGGAATCATACAGAATGTAGTCTTCTTGTGTGGTTTCTATCATTCACTGTGCACTCTTTGGATGACTTATTAGAAGGGAGCCTCCTGCTTCAAAGCAGAAGACAGCCCTCAGAGACTGCCCTGGCTTTACTGTCATCCCCCAGGAACAGGACCTATTAGTTGGTCTTACTTTATTCTTAGGCTTTATAATGTACTTCAGTAATCAATAAGCATTTCTGTGGCAGAGGGTTTATTTTACTCTATAAATCCAAGCAGGAGAGAATGATATTAAGACATCAGTATGGATGGGCTCTGCTGCTCTGTAACACTATGAGGAGAACATGAGCAACAGATTTAAATCTAAGGTTATAGAGTAGTCACAGCTCCTGGCTGGATGGCAGGGATCATAAAAGACTCAGGAAAGATCTACAGCAACGTACTGTGAACCAATGGGACTCTCAGAGCAAAAACCCAAACTGAACAGGCATGCTGGCCATCTACCCAGAAAGAATTTATAAGCATAGACTTGAGTGAAATGGGAAGAGCCCTTATCAAAAATCCAAAATATTTCTTTACACAATAAATGAAAAGGTAGAGAAAAATGCTGATTGCAAGCTGACTGCGTAGAAAGCCCTTCTCTGGTTTAGAAAGAAGCCTACTTGATAAGCAGCCTGGTGGTCCCAGGAGGCTCTTAATTCTCTCCCCTGCAACTCCTGGCCCCAGGGCTCCGCAGTGGTGATCACTGCGGCATCTTCTCTCTAGTCAGCCCTTGGAGACTCATCCTTCCTTTCCAAAGCAGAGGTCAATTCAAGGAAGAGGAAATATAAATGGCTAATAAACACATGAAAAAAGATGCTCAACTTCACTAGTAATCAAAGAAACACTGATTAAAAGGAGGTACAGTTGTTCTTCATTTGTTGAATTAGAAAAAAAATGTAAATACTGATATAGGATGTTGGCAAGTTGTCAGGCAGACACTCATTGCTTCTGGAGGAATGTCAATTATTTTATCTGGGAAAGAACTCTGTGATATGCATCAACAGCCTTAACGTTTTTCATTCTATTTGAATCCACTATTTTCTTTCTGAGATACATATCCAAAATGGAGCAAAAATGTCTATAAGCATTTGTATGCAAATTTCATCATGCAGTTGGGAAACAACACAATAATATATTATTTATGTGGCTATTGTCAGCATATACAGTGCCAGGAAATATGCTATGACACACTTTACATACATATCCTTTTTAACCTTACACTATCTCCCTGCCCTGCCCCACCCTACTGGGTAGGTTTAGTATTCCAATTTTACAGGAGGAGAGAGAGGATTGAAGATATTAAGCAACTTACCAAGGGTCACACATTTGTAGGGAAAATCTCCAGGCATCTGAACTCAGGTATTTTTAAACCTCTGGATGAATCCAATACACAGACCTCATGAACCTAAATGTCCCCAAACTGGGCAATGGACTGATGTGCCAGTATGGTATTCACCCATAAAAATAGCATTCCTAAGGAATTTTATTAAAATGAAGAAATGATCACAGTCATAGGGAAGTTAAAATAAAAATCCTAGAAGGGATTTTGGGTGAGTTACATAGGTTCTCTCAGGTTTAATTTCTTTTTTTTCCATCAATAAAATAGGGATAACAGTATCCACCTCTCAAGGTAGAGATAAGGAAATAAGCATTGAAAAGTGCTTTTATTGTTACTACAATTAAGTAAGATGCATTTAATTATATACATATATACATTATATATATATGTACATATGTTCACACATATATGATAGAAAGAAAATAAGACTGGAAAAAGATGCACTAAATGTTAATAGTGTCAATTCTGAATGATAAAGAGTCTGGATTATTTTTATTTTCATCTTTAAATTTTTGGTATTTTTTAAATCTCTTTGGTTATTGCCTTTTCACCTAAGTCAGTAGATGCTACCTTTTTATTAGAAGAGAAAAGTTCACACACACACACACACACACACACACACACACACAATGTCACCCATGTGATGGAGTCTCTGAGGTCCTGATGAACACTGGTCTTCAGAGGTTACTAGATGGCACAGGAAAATCTCATCATTTTTCAGAGTGAAGGAATTCCTTCAGGAGGCATCACGGGGAGGCACCCTTGTGGTACAGCACGCCTAGGCTAGGACTGTTGTCATCTAGCTCACAATTTGTGTTTAGATTAACAATAGTGCTGAAAGACCTATACCCTGAAAACTATAAGACATTCCTAAGAGAAAGTAAAGAGGATACTAATAAATGGAAATTCATCCCATGCTCTTGGGTAGGAAGAATTAATATTGTTAAAATGGCCATCCTGTCTAAAGCAATCTATAGACTCAATGCAATCCCTATCAAAATACTGACAGCCCTTCAATGGACTGGAACAAATAGTTCTAAAATTCATATGGAAACACAAAAGACCCTGAATAGCCAAAGCAACCCTGAGAAAGAAGAATAAAGCAGGGGGGATCTTTCTCCCCAACTTCAAGCTCTACTACAAAGCCACAGTAATCAAGACAATTTGGTAATGGCACAAGAACAGAGCAACAGACCAGTGGAACAGAAAAGAGAGTCCAGATATTAAGCCAAACATATTTGGTCAATTAAAATTCGATAGAGGAGCCATGGATATACAATGGGGAAATGACAGTCTCATCAACAGATGGTGCTGGCAAAACTGGACAGTTACATGTAAGAGAATGAAACTGGATTACTGTCTAACTTCATACACAAAAGTAAACATGAAATGGATCAAAGACTTGAATGTAAGTCATAAAACCATAAAACTCTTAGAAGAAAATACAGGCAAAACTCTCTTGAATATAAAAATGAGCAACTTCTTCATGAACATATCTCCACGGGCAAGGGAAACAAAAGCAAAATGAACAAATGGGACTACATCAAGCTAAAAAGGTTCTGTACAGCAAAGGACACCATCAGTAGAACAAAAAGGCATCCTACACTATGAGAGAATATATTTATAAATGACATATCTGATAAGGGCTGATGTCCAAAACATACAAAGAGCTCATGCACCTCAACAAACAGAAAGCAAATAACCCAATTAAAAAGTGGGCAGAGGAGCTGAACAGACAGTTCTCCAAAGAAGAAATTCAGATGGCCAACAGGCACATGAAAAGATGCTCCACATCGCTAATCATCAGAGAAATGCAAATTAAAACCACAATGAGATAGCACCTCACACCAGTAAGGATGGCCAGCATCCAAAAGGCAAACAATAAATGTTGGCGAAGATGTGGAGAAAGGGGAACCCTCCTACACTGCTGGTGGGAATGTAAATTAGTTCAACCATTATGGAAAGCGGTATGGAGGTTCCTGAAAAAACTAAAAATAGAAATAACATTTGCCCGAGGAATTCCACTTCTTGGAATTTACCCTAAGAATACAGGAGCCCAGTTTGAAAAAGACTTATGCACCCCTATGTTTATCACAGCACTATTTACAATAGCCAAGAAATGGAAGCAACCTAAGTGCCCATCAGTAGATGAATGGATAAAGAAGATGTGGTACATATACACAATGGAATATTATTCAGCCATAAGAAGAAAACAAATCCTACCATTTGCAACAACATGGATGGAGCTAGAAGGTATTATGCTCAGTGAAATAAGCCAAGTGGAGAAAGACAAATACCAAATTATTTCACTCATATGTAGAGTAAAAGAACAAAGAAAAACTGAAGGAACAAAACAGTGG